TCTTTTAATATTAAGTATTTGAATAAATATAGATTTGATTTTATATATTTTTGTTTCATTTTACTCAAAATTGCTTCATGTTCATGATGGTGAAAACTATTTGTTTAGTGCAAGCACAAGGCAAAATGTGTGAAAAGGGGAAATGGGAGGAGCTGGTGTTTGTTTCCTTTCCTATTTTTGATTCTGGTGAGCTCATAAAGTCTGCTACATGGTTCTGCTTTCTCTTAGCTCATCCTGTTGGTCCAACTGTAGCTACTAATTGTTTCTTCATGGGAACCTGGTACATTAATTTTAAGATAACAGTCATTGTTGCTATACAACAGCTAACAAGTGATGCAAGAATAACCGGTATTTCAGAAATTTCAGAAAATCAGAAACATACAAAAGTATGTCAGGAGTGCTTCCCTGTGGAGGTTTAGTCCCCTTCGCCTTAAAGTTGACATGTGATCACTGTGAGACACCATTTATTCAAATGTTGCTTCTGCTCTAACACACTTTCACTTTGCTACATCCTATTCTGACACCAATTGCTACAGCCTTTCAATTTTTGAACATTTTACTGTAAAATCTTTTCTCAAAGCCCAAATGTGACTCAAATATAATAAAATAAAAATACCAGATTCACTGATTCTCTAGAATCTAAAATGCTTTTGGAGTCCAACATTTCTGACCCTGAAAATCTTCAAGGACTCTTCAGAAAAACATTTTTTCTTTATTTAGTTTTTACATTTTGGAATTTACTTTTTAATGCAGGAATCAAACGTATAGCATATAAACTAAACTGATGAATTGGAGAAACAGCGCTCATATTCTATTTCATATCATTCACGCGCCACAATCCAAACTTCTAACAGTGAATCCCAAACCTATGAAACACCACTGGATTATTTAATGTCCTTGCAATTACAATAAGAACAAGCATGCATCTCTAGATGTTAGCAACATGACGAAGTAGACAGATGTGATCAGAAAGGAAAAAAGTGAAAAGAAATTATTGGAATATTTAGAACTACGTGACTGTTCGGTTTGTTCTCTACACATCTCACAGGAATACCATATCTTTTAATAGTGAGCAGCTAACATTACAAAACCATGTTTCAAAGTTTGTTAAAAGGGAGGAAAAACAAATTCAAAACTCTGTTTTTTTCCTTTCCCTTTAAGCAAGAATTGAAACTCTTGAGCTCTAGAGACTGATGTCTTAAATAACAGAAATAGAAAGCTTAACAGAAAAAGGAATCTCCTGGTGTGAGTAACAAGATCATTGGCATTTTGTTTGACTAAAATAATTAATTAACTACATTCTACGCAATCTACCACATTCTAAAACATAAGACATTATAAATTGCTCTTATAATGTCGATTAGTGCACTGACCACTGTTTAGATAACTGATCCTAGTGGGACTAGTCTGAGCCAGATGTGTTGAAATGAGTTTCCACATATGCACAGTTTATTCTTTTGCTACTCCTGAACTAGCTTATCAAACATGTGGGTGGTGGGTCTATAAAGACACATTAAAGCCACTCTACACGTTTCTTTTTTGGGAGGTGAGATAACTAAAGCCTATCAACACAAACAGCAAAATCTCACAACTAAAGCCAAGATAAATAGTTTTAAAGTGCTATAATGAATATGTAAGGCATTATGTAAGGCCTCAAAGTTTAATCTAACAAACTACAACTGAAAAAAAAGTCTGCTCTTTGCTGGAATAAATGATTCAAATACAAAGGCATGTCACATTAAGGGACCAGTGAAACCAAACTGAGACTCACTGTGAGTGTAATTATGAGTCAAAACATGATTTAATATGAGCACTGGTCTACTGTAGAATTTGTTTTAAAAGTTAAAATAGATTCAAAGAACTCATGAAATGAAGTCGGTAGTGTGAGAGTGGGCTTCAATACGGTAATGTCTCTTGTGCTGTTCTGTCAACACCAAACTTTACCAATAAGTTATCTATTTTAACCAGAAACTTCAGGCTCCTCCCAATGTTCTCTTTTAGACCGTTTTCTTTAGCTCATTACGATGTCAGAAAGAGGAAGTATTCTTAATATAGTAATGCCTGGCACACAGTTATGGCTGTTAGCCCAGAAGCCCCACCTTCCTGCTGCATAAAGCTTCTACTTTGCTCACCAAGGCCCAGTAAGAGACAAAAACTGTTTCACAATCGTTCAAAACTTAAGTTCAAGAATAAATAAGTGGAGCTGGAAATGTGCAGAATAGGTACCCTTTCAACACTGGTGAGCCTTTTTTTTTTTTTTAGTTTATTATCATTTTGTGCTTTTAGACCAGCAACGTCTAAGGCTAAAGTTAATACTTACAGATGTGTATAAGTAAAAACAGTGTGAAAATGATTTCAAATAAATTCATAGGGGGTTCAAAACCATAAAATGAACAACGAGAAATACCTTAAATACTCAGTGGATCAAATCTCCTCTAATCCCCCACCTGTTCCCTGTGTAAGGTGATTCTCATGCTTCTTTTAGGGAAGTGCAGCTCTTAGAGCGATGCCTGTGACCAACCTAGCGTGTAGGCAGATGTCTTCTCTGGCTGTATGCCTGGTCAGGTCCTGTAGGCATTAAAGCAAGAAGCAGATGACAAAGGACACCTCAGTGAAGAGTCAACAACTCTGTCCTTAATGAGGACATAATAATGAAGTAATGCTTATATGTTTAGTCATCCTTGTGATGAAGAGTGGATAATAAATAAATAATAATAATAATACATTTTCTTGGGCAAGGGAAGGAAACTAAAACAGCTTGTTTCAGACAAAGTATGACATGGCAGGCTGCACCAAGGACCAGTACGTGAAATAAACAAGGATTATTTTAACTGTTAATCGTGTAAAGCTACTCTAGTAAAATCCAGTAATATAAACACTGAGCTGGCGATTACGATGATAAGCTGAGGAATAAGTGATGCAAAAGCCTCATTGCTGTTTGATACTGGGCAGGTGTTGTACTGGGGGGGTTTACAAAGATTTAGTCAGTGAAAACAGCCTTCTGCATCTCATGTGAGTGAACCAAAAAAGTACATTTGCAGCCGTTATGACAAAAACAATAAGCTTAAATGTTCCGCACTACTGAGAAGTGCAGAGTAGAGATAATTCTCAGTGAGTTTGCCTCTTATTATGATACTTTTCACTTTAATGTGGTATTTTTGTCCACCTCCACAATGATATAAAGATTTTTGCTGCAAAACAATCAAACTTTCAAAACAAAAATTAATTTACCTACGTTTTTAAAATTGTACTTTTTTTTCTGTGACAAATAACCTTTTAATTGCAATTAAAGTCAACTTACTGACCTCTTAAATAGCCCCTTAATGAACTCTACTAGAAACCTTCTGTCTAAAATAGGCTTGTAATGTACTCTGACATCTACTTTGCTTCACAAGGCTGCTCTACAAATGCTTTTACACAACCACACCTTGAGTAACTGCTTTTGTAGATCGCATGAGCAAATATTTTCCACTAATAGATTCGAGAGTTTCACTTAACGAAAGAGTTTTGCTCACCTCGTGAACTTTTAATGCAGCCTTGTGTAAACTGGAGTCAAAACCTCAAAGCAGAAACATATTTAACAAAAGGTTCATCAGAATACTTGATTAGGAAATTATGTATGTTATATGTTTACTTGTTTTATTAGTTTTATTATTATTAAGTTGAGAACATTACAACCCTATTTAAATAAGAAAAGAAAACTAAACAAAAAGAAAACCCCAAAAGGAATCCATTCAAGCATCAGTCCATCCATTCATCCATCCATGACCACATTAGGGTCACCAGTTAATGCACAGGGAGAGCATGTGTGCATGTGTCCACAATAAAAAACTGTAGCCTGGATGTGAACCCAGGACTTTCTTGTTTACAGTGATGGTGGGATGCAGCCAATGTCAAATTCAGATTTGATTATCTCCTCAATCCTATAATCACACCTTCTATGATGAGTCTGGTACTGATAGCACCGACTGCACTGACTGCATGTTGTAGGGTTGTCCTGACTGACCTGTCTCTGCAATGTTGCCTGGACCTCTGGGCGGTGCCTTGGGTGTGGAGAAGGTGTACTGCAACCATAGGTGTATCACACTTCTCAGCCCGGGACAATCTACACTTCGGTACTAGTGATGTGAGTCCATCTGTTAGTTAAACCTTCACTTCAAGAGGAACAATGCAGTTTTTGACCTGGCCATGGAACAATGGGCCACGGCTTTATCCTCTCAAAGATGTTCAAGGGTGTAGGGGGGTTTGCCCAACCTGTAAAAAAGTCTACATATGTTTTGTGGACTTGGAGAAGTAGTTTTACCGGGTTCATGTGGGTATACTGTGGAGGTTAGACTTGTTTTCCGGTTAATGCTAGACTCCACCAGGGCTGCCCTTGGTCACTGACTCTGTTCATAGGTTTTGTGAACAGAATATCTAGATGTAGCCAGATGTAACCAGGTGGAGGGTCTCCACTTTAGTGGCTACAGGATTTTACCTTTGCTTTTTGCAGATTATGTTGTTCTGTTTGGTTCTTCAAGTGGTGTGTGCATGTGCAATTAAGGTTCAAATCTAAAGGTTCAAATCTAAGATCTACCCTTCTCCTGGGATCAGACATTCTATAAATCAAGTTCACTTGCTCTCAAACCAACTTTAATGGTTGACCGACTAACTGAACTGACTGGCATGAATAACTTCATTTCCTGGAACACTATACAGCAAAGCCTTGTTCAACTCTTCTGTACTGGTGCTCCAGTCAGTGACCTAGAATGCCTCGAAGGACTGATGGCCTATCCTAATCCTCAGGGCCCTGTTGTTTAAAAGGTGTAATGCAGATAAAAATCATCTGCTTTTGGTTTTTCCTTGGTTTTCAATGGATCACATAATCCGGCTCACTTTTGACCTCATTATAAAAAAAAAAAAAAAAAAAAAAAAAGAAGGAAAAAGAAAGAAAAGAAGTTTAAAATACTGAAACATTTTTTCAAATATTACAGAGAACAGTTAGAACAGTAATCACACAGTACTTTTAAGTGTGTTTATTTCAAGTGTTACAAAGAAGAGCTCTGGTGGTAACTTTCTTTGTAACATTCAGTCCACTGACTAAACAACTACTAAATATAAACAATATGGCATATGAAGGTGTTCTTTAAAAAAGAAGTTACACAATTTCAAAGACTATGTTGTCACAGATGTCAGGCAGGACTCTAACACAAATCCAGGGGCAGGTCCAGGACACTCCTCTTCACACAGTCTGTGACTCAGTCACACTCACTCAGTGTCTAAGGCTCAGTACAGAGAATAGAAACGTTCATTAGGAAAACCAGGAAACATAATGAGATACGATATGATTCACAAAGAGAGTTGGAGCTACACTAACCAAGGTGAGTACAACAACCCAGCAAAAACCAGCACTCCAGTGTGGCCTTAAATAATGGCAGGAGCAATCATGAATGATGAGCAGCAGGTGAGTGATGATGAGCAGGTGTGGAGATCGAAGCGGGGACCAGGAACCAGACGCCAGCCTGACACCATGTAACATAATCATCATCATTATCTGTCTTTGACAAAGACTTCTTTAAGCCTTATTTGATACCTTCTGATGTAGTAGATGCTGGTTCTACTAGAGCTGATCCACTGTCCACAACAAGAACAAGTGTGTCCTCTTCATTAGAAAGAACTGGATCAGTTTTCTCTACATTTGTGGGCTCAGCATCCCTTACAGTACTTTGAATCCCATGCAAAGTTTGTCAGTTTGCACCTCCAATAATATTAAGGACCATATCTCTGTAGTCTGTGCTCTGGTAAGATTTGTCACCAGTTTGAGTGTTTTTGGCTTCAGCATGGTCCCTTCTTGACTTGGCCTTCTTCCATCTGAATTTAACTAACTCTGCTGTCCTCCTAACACCCCAGCCCATTGTGACTCAGTCCTACAAATACATCATAATGGTTCCACCAGCAGTGCCAATGCTGAATTTATAGGACCAACTTGATTAGTTGAACAAAACACTTAAGAGTAATTTTGAACAGCTGCATCTCCCTAGTCAGAGGGATTGCAGGAGGATTTTCTGGGTCCTCATCAGGCTCAGGTGCATCATAAACATTATCACAGAGGGGAACATTATGTCTTGTGACAATGCTGTGAAGCACATTACAGGCAAGTATTATTTGGCATTGTAGCCTGTGGCTCCACTAGCAAGTAGCTGAGCAAGCAAAGGGCCTTTTCCAGAGAAATAGGACATGAAAGATTTGCCCTTGTTCCCACATGTCCTAACATAGTGAACGAATCCATCTGTCCATTTATGCTCTTCCAGGGCAGCTTCCACCACAGAAAAACACAGACTTCCCTTTCCCCAATCACCTGCTTTAGTGTAGCTGAGGGAACACCAAGGCGTTCTCATTCCAGCCTTAAGAAATATAATCTCTCCAAATTGTCTTGGGTCAGAGCCATTCATAAATGATTGAACTCTTCATCCTATCTCTAAGGGAGAGGCCAGACACTCTTCATAGAAACCTCTTGTTTTCCGAAAATAAATAAATACATTTCTGTTTTAAAACAGAAAAAGTGTTCTGTGTACTATTTTCAAATCATTGGAATCTTTTAACGTTTTTAACTTCATTGTTTTTGCATTTTGTAATGCTATTTCATCAAAATACCTCAGCGAATCTGAGAAGTAAAACTTCTTCTTCGAGGCTGAACTGTGAGGCTTGTTAAGAAATGATTCACTGAGGCTTAAAAGTTATTTCCATTAGAAGACTTCACCCCCTTGAACAGGGGCCAAGGGGTTTCTTTGGCTGACTTAACAGTGTACCTAATAAGACCAAGATGCATCACCACTGCACAAACAAAACCTCTTTAATATTTTAGAATCTGAATTAAGCTGACCTCATCTGTCATACCATGTGTGCTCTTCATGATGTGCAAAATAAACATTAGTATAACTTTTATGCTCAAAACAGAGCAACGCAGCCCTGGTAGAAATCAGACACCTCTCAGACATGTGGTAAGTGAGGGGCTACAATTTCATGTGCTATTTAAGGGTTTTACTGTGACCTTTTCCTGAACACTACCACTGCCTCTGTGTGCAAAAGCCTTAGCAGCTTGAATTGAGTTAAGTTCTTCTGGGAATAAGGGATGAGTCAAAGAAACTACACTTTCTAACACATAACTCATGTTTAAAAAGCAAAGAGGGAAAAGAACTAATACTCTAAAGAAAAAAGTATGTGTAGAGAACAATGACTGCTTTGTTTAAAAAGAAATTAAGAAAAACTAAGAAAAAAAGAAAAAGTACTGAAAAGTAATTGTGAGTTAAAAGGAAATGATTTCAAAGGAACTGCAGACCAGAAACGTTAACACTTTTCTTACAGGAAACTAAAATGGGCACTTCACTTGTCAGCATTCGGAGTCTGAGCCCATGTAATATAGTTACTGGGAAAGTTAAAATGAGCAGTGTGCAAGTCATACAAACCTTTAACCAGAAATATGGAGAAAATTGTGACATTTCTGGGAAATACTGTTTCTGAGTTTTTATGCACTACTAGGCTATGCATTAGGAATTAGTAGTAGAGGGCTGAAGTAGTTACATGAGATGTGCCAGGTTAAGTACATTATCTCAGCAAAGCACTATGGGGATCAAATCCTCAGATGTCAGTGGGAGTGAAATATTATTACAGCTTATACAAAGGGAAGATTGTGAAAACTGTACATTTTGTCAGAGACATTCTTTCAATAGACACTCTGCATACCTTAAGATGAGTCATATTATGCACGAACTTTCTGTTTGGTAAGTATCGTTTCTGCATAATGCTCAAACAGGTTACAAGTACTGGTTTACTGGTTTACAGCTTACACAGCAGCACTGACAGCCAATCAGCATCTATAAATTGTCATTTGAAATATGTCTGTGAAGGTTCTCAGTCATCCAGGTCATCGTAGTCAAAGGAGCTTGCAAAGAAAAGCGTCTGGACTTCTTTAAGTTGCTTGAAGACGTTTCACCTCTCATCCGAGAAGCTTCTTCAGTTCTAAGGTCAAATGGTGGAGAGTCCCAGATATAAACCTAGTGGGAGTTTCCCCCCACGGAGGGACAAAAGGACCCTCTGGCGATTAGAGGATCATCAGGGGGTCCTCCAGACGCTTTTCTTTGCAAGCTCCTTTGACTCATTTGAAATATGTTCATAACACAGTCTGACCACAAAAAAAGAAAAGAGTAACTGACTGTTAGACCTTTATCTAGAGTGATTAGATTAGCATGTAGGCTAAACACATTAGAACAAACAATAACAAAAAGCTTGTCCATTAGTCTTTTACAGACTCCTTTCATCTGTGTGTTTCTGGTTGGTTTGCATCGTATTAACTGCTGTTGCCAGTCTGCACAAATTTTTTGTAACTGGCATTCCTCAGCAGTATATAAGGATTTTCTCCCAGTTACCTGCTGTCAGAAACCTGTAAGATATCATGGGTTAATGCCGAAACAAGTCAGTTTCCACAGTAACATGAGGGTTGTTTTGGTGTTGTTGCTGATTGTGTCAGTGATAGATTTGCAGAAAAAAAACAAGCTTCTACTTGTCCTTACAGGTGTAGTGTTCTCATACGGAGTCATTTTATTCATATGCAAAACTGGAACATCCCATAAAGTCTATGATTTACTGTAATTGAATAAGCTTTCATGACTCCATCTGTGACATGCTCAATGTTCTGTAAATAAATGATGTTGTCAACACAAACATCAACACAAATCCGGCACAATTGCTTCAGACTTTCCATTGTTTCAGAAAGCCCTAGTTTGCCCATCTCAATTTGCAGGTAACTCAAGTCCAGCCAAGGCACTGAATCAACTCGGAGCACAAACAGGAGAACAAGGTCAGGTAACGAAGGCACTCATAAGTTGAGAACCTGATTACCACCACAAGGGTGAAGATGAGCTGGCAAGGAGTAAGGTTTCTGCTGACCCTTTTACTCCCATAAGTGATGTGATAATGGTAAGCAGGCTGGCTGAAAGTGGGTCAGCGCAATGCACCAGCGCCTGCCCAACTCCACCTAAGAATCGATAGAACAAGAAAGAGAGACAGTGGATGCAAAAGAGAGCAGTCCTGCGAGAACCATGACAATCTGCTCTTCTCCTGTTTATGTTCTCAAGGATGAAATCTCGACAATAGGAGCCTCGTAGCTCAGTGCTAATTATAATTGTAAACAACCATGGTTGATTTATGTGAACCACATTTTTTTCAAGTTATTGTTTTGCTCAGAGTTGTGGTAGCTGCAATATGTTCCTATGTTTATCCACTGCTGACATTTGTAAACATGTAAATAGAGCTCAGATAACAATAGAGATCCTCTTGAGATAGCCTCTTTTTTTTTACTTTCTTGTGTGCATATCGATTCATGTTGCGGTAATGCTTTAAAATGAATAACCATTTAAGGTATTTCAGTACACAATCCCAATTGTAACAGAACTTTTTTTTGCAGTGTTCATTTCCTGTCTATCGTAAAACTCAAAACATCTGTGTGAAAGCAGTAAAGAAAAAAGAAAAGTATAAACTGTAATTAAAAGAGGCCACCCTTTATTTGGAGTCTTTTGACTATTGTGGTTTTTGTTTTTGCCGTTTTTTGTTTTGTTTTGTTTTTTTTTCCAACCAGGCATAACTTCTGGGGTGGATCTGAATGAGAAACCAAGCAACGATCCATGCTCAGTAGTACTAGCTATAAATAACAGAGTACTCCCATTCTGAATCATGTTGTCATTTTTCACTTTATTTGAGGACCATAATTTGTAAAATGAACACCTTGTTGTGTTCAACTCAATTCAAGCATCAAAGACTAGAAAATCACAAGGAACTATTTAAAGCAGGTCACTTGATAATGCCATATCAGATGAACATCGGGCTTACTTCCCCATCAACAGGCACATACTGCATTTGTTTCCTCCATGACCTTTACTTTTATAACCTAACAAGTTCTGTTAATCTTTTATATACAGTCTAACACTGAGAGGCTGTTTATTTTTCCAATTTACGTTATAGTTTGATGCAAACCTGCATTACATATATAGTTGGAATCAACCCTTACTAAAGCAGCTTGTATCCATCAACCAGTTGGATTGTTGCAAACAAATTAGCTCTCGATTAATTTGTGAGGAATAGATGACATAGAATAGATGACCTCTCCTCTGTTTTACACAGTATTCTGTGTAAAAACCAATCCAGTGTGTTCCATTGCATTTCATGGAAAAAGGGGCTGTCCAGATAGCATGCTGTGTGTTGAGGAAATAATATTTTGTTATTATAGTTTGCAAGAGCACCATCAGAATGATCCGAAAACTGAATCTGTAGTAAAACTTTAACACATGTATCAGAGGAAAAGGGAATCCGTCAGAAACAGGCAAGAGCATGTTAGCTTTTAAAATGTAACCAGTCATTATTGTATAATTACCTCTCATTACAGTTTCATTCAACCAATTAACAAAAACAAATATTATCCCTGTTTTCCCCATTCACAATGAGAAGCAGACGACTGTTTCTGCTAAGACATGTTCCTCATGGGTGTGTTTTTTGTAAACTGGACTTTTCTGTGAAGACAGAAATCTAAGAAATAAATCTCTTAAAAACTGAATACATAAAAAAATACATAAAACTTATAGAGCACTTTGAGTACTCCGGGAGAGTAGAAAAGCGCTATATAAGAATCAGTCCATTTACCATTTACCATAAAACCAACATTGTCTTTGTAGATAAACAAGTGACTCAAGTGAGACAGAAACACCCTGAGAAAAGAACGCAGCTCGGCAGCTTTCCTTAAACAAACGACGTTGCAACATATTAGAGCTGTAAACACCATTTTCATATCTCAACGCTGCATTTTGTCTTTCCCACTTAAACTTTTGTTTCTAAAAGACCAGAAAACAGTGATTAGTCCCCTTCGCTATTACTTATAGCTCATTATAATTAATCAATTATGTTGATTTGTAACTTCAAAGATAATGATGTATAAGAAGTAGCAGTCAAATTTGAAAAATCACTGAAAGAACATAATATTTGTTCCTGATCCATTTTAGCCATCGTTTAACCTTTACGACAAGTCAGTGATACTGATTGAAATAACTTCTGCTTTTCCTTCAGCTTCTCCTCAAGGCACTGAATGAGTACAGGGTCCACTTTGGGGTCAAACTTATTGGCAAACCAGTGGCCATAGTTCAGCAACCAACGCATTTCCGCAGCACCAAATATACAAACGCTGCGAACGTGTGTCCCTGTGCACGGTGGGTACAGCTGCTCCTCCAGGTACTGCCACTTCACCAGCCTGGTTTTGCTCATCAGGTCTGTGATATCAGGCTTGGATCTAGCCACCTCTCCAGGGACACCTGGCAGTCGCACAAGTGTTGCCCAGAAGTGTTCATCTGGGGAGTAGGTGTCCTCTGACCAGGACAAAAAATCTTTCACTACACCTGAGGCATTCATATGCTCAATGAACTTCCGGGAAAGTACAAAGTAGGCGTTTCCAGAGAACACCTCAATATTGTGTGGTGGTGGGCTCTTTACATACTCGGTTTTCACTGGCAGTTTTTGATATTCAAAGCTGGCATCTTTCAGCTCATAGTGAAAGGTGAACCGTTGTTTCTTAGCTGGTGTGGGTCGGCTCGTCTCTAGCATGTTTCTGCCATTCAGTTGCTTTAGTTCTGACACTAGCTCCACGTTGGACTTGAGAGGGAAGTCTTGGCCACAGAGGTTGATGACATACTTCCACTTGACTTCTGAACCCAAAAGGTCAGACAGACAGTTGAGATCAGCCTTTAATCGGCTAATGCTTGCATAATATACTGATTCTTTCTTGCTGGTAATGAAGACATTGGGCAGACACTGGGCCAAACCCTCCATAGCTGATATGAACTGAGCAGAGGACTTTTGATCATAGTGGATACAGTAGATATTACTGGGTGAGTACAGTGCATTGATGAGTCTCTCTACCATCCAGGCAGATTTATGCACAACCAAAGAATAAGCAATAGGAAAGTCTTGCTCCTCTTCTGTGGCACACACATTATCATAACCCCTGTACTTTCTGAATAAAGTACAGTTAGAGGTAAGATAAGCTAGACTTTCATCTTTAATCTCCACAACGTCTTTCTTTTTGATCAGCAGAGATTTCCCCACCTCCACTGGGTCCATGTCATAAATAGCAGAGCAATCAATATTGTACTTGGGAATTATCTGCATGTCCGTACCAATATGTGAAGGTTCAGTGATGTAGCTGTGCTTGACACAGACCAATAGCAGGATGGATATAGTCAGCAATGACAGGAGGGAAGGAAGGAACTGCTTTCGTCTTAGTCGCAGCGATAAACATCGCATGGTCATTCTGTAGTGAGAGAAAACACAACATGAAGGAACATAAACCCAACTGATATTCTTCAGAAATACCTAACCACCTAAAATAAATGTTCAGTTTCTTTTAGAATAGGGTTACTCCATATTTGTTTATTTTGCAATAACTTTAGCACATCCAGTGAAGCCTTGCAAAGACAAACAGATTCAATAGAAGCTTCTACCCACAGTCTGTCAAACGTACCCTACCTACACCCTGATTGAAGGTTAACTGTGCTGCTAACACTCAAGGACACTCGCACTATATTTATAAACTGTATTTATTACAGTATAACATACATACACATACGTACGTACGTACGTACGTATGTATGTGTGTATGTGTGTGTATACAACTTGTGCATATCCTTTTTGTGTACATTCTCTGTGCTCTCCATTCTGCCAATGGAGAGATGACAACTGTGTTTCATTGTTCTGGTAACAGTGACAATAAAAATCTATCTTTTCTTATCTTATCTTATGTTACCTTCATAGAAGTGTGACAAGTGTCCAAAAGAAAGAAAGTGTCACTTCGTAACGCCAATTGCACAAGATTTGATACATGAGTTTGTGAGACTTCATCACTTTTTCCCTAACAAAACTGATTTTAATTTATGTTTAAGCAATACATAGATGTGGCAAAAATTATACAAATGCATACATATATATGTAAATTTACATTCAATTGATTTTTTTTTAATGGTGGGAAGGTTCAATAAATTCTCTGGTTTTAAAAAAATAAAACAAATATTCTATCAACAATTATTTACTTTAGAATTTCTGAGGAAACACAGAATCAGGTTTCACCAACTCCTAAGTACGCTTGTAATATAGTGTATTATCTTACTTTTTTTCATTGATTGTACTTATTTGTGTTTTTGTATTTCCTTCATATATCTGTACCTGAGCTGAGGTGACGCAAAAATTTCCCCGTTGTGGGATTAATAAAGTCTTATCTTATCTTATCTTATCTTAATACTTACAGTTTCTACAGTACAAAGGTAACATTTTGCATTTCTTTATTGTATATGCGGACGTTATTATTCACAAAATAAAACAGAAAACTGGGTCTTATTCAGATCTGACATATATGATTTTTTTTCTTTATATAATGAGAAGTATACAACACACAGAGAGACATCTAGTTGCTATTAAAAATACCTTTACGTTTAGTTTAGTTTTACAGATTTCACATGGATATAGTTGCCTCATTGTCATTTGCTTTGAAAATTCATAGGCCTAGTTTTAAAAAACAAAACAAAACAAAACAAAAAAAACAACATCTCCCGATTCAAAACAGGAGATATTCGTCTGAAATTTATAAGTGTGCCCTTAAAAAGAGTGACCAAAACACAAAGGTGACGTGAATATACACTAGAAAAGAAGTTAAAATGAGTTATCCAATTCAGAGTGGACGATAATAAATAAATAAATAAATAAATAAATAAATAAATAAATAAATAAGATCAAAACAGCTTATTCCAAACTTCTAAACGTGCGATCTGTTTATTGTTGTTTGAAGACTATCATTGCAAATACCTTCAATAAAAACAACGGAACACCACAGAATATATAGCTTATATGATCTCATCTCTTTAAGCAGACAGAAAGAGACAGAAGTGAAATTGGGAGGCAGTTGCCATCTATGATATAGCAAACGGGAGAGCTAATTTAGATGTGATGGATACCTTCCATACTGTGAAAAGCCCTCACCTTGCTCTTCACGCTGGTGCCGGTCTCCCCAAAAGACCTGGCAAGCAGTTTTTAAACCTGAAAGTTGTCGAAACGTGGGTTCAATGCAAATGTTCCGTCTTCGCTGCTTCGACAGTAAAACTTCGACTCACAAAAGTGAAGAATGAAAAAAAGGAAGAATGAAAACTTACCTGTCAGAAAAAAGAGTGGGCATTCGTCTTCCCTGCCCTTCCACTTTTCCCACACTGCTGTCGCGACATCTGTGGACAACGCAAACTTGAAGAAATGTCTGATTATACGTTGTTAATCAGCGGAAACCGTGTTCAGAAGAAGCGCGACAAGCTGTCATAACCGCGCTGAGCTGAGGACCACAGGACAGAGACGCGCTGAGAAATAACCCGGAAAAGAGGGAGGGGTTCAGGAAACTAATTACAGCTCAAGTAAAAAAAAAAAACCGAAAGAAAGAAACGAACTGAAAAGCAAGAAAAAGCAGAAAGACGTGTTTTGTGTGTAATCATTGGTTTGTCTCTGTAGTAGGTAAAAAAGCAAAAAAACAAAACTTTTTTTAAGAGGGGGGAAGGAGCAAATAAAAAATGGTTTCCCCTGCAAATGCGCTTTACTGAAACGACTGCTTCCTGAACAAATCTGGTTAAAATAGTTTGAATTAAAACCCCGTGTCTGGAGTCATCTGAACTCACTAAGGGAAGGGTGAGAAGGAAGAAAGCTGTACCAATCGTGGGAGCTCTCAAGACTTAAAACTTGGAGGTGGTGTGTGAGAAAACTCAACAGTGAGGTCATTTCTATGTTTTTTTGGGGGGTGGGGGTGGAGAAAGAATAAAAAAAATCAATCTACGACGGTCGTTCAGTGACTTGGCTTTGTTCTGAAATAACACAATCCTGATTATCTCTTTATGACAGAAAAGCAAACTGATTCTTCAAAAGAATTCTAAGATACTGGCTTAAACGCATTTAAACTATAATCAACCTATTAAAACACACGTGAAGATTCAATATGCTACCTACACGAGTGACTAATATGAGCCAGGTTGGAATGTAGATTGGTGATTTTGCTGGGTCATAAATGTCAACTCAAAGTCATGCAGATTGGTTATTATTATCAGTAATGCCATGAAAGTCATACTTAAATACACCATGCAAAACAAAAGTCCAGGCATTTGTTGAAAAAAAAAAAAAGCATAGCGTGCAGGTGTGCAGGCATATTGGTCTGAGGTGTGTCTTTTGTTTCTTCTCTCTTCAAGTTGGTTTTATGAAGCTAACCTAGAAAACAAAAACACAAAGAAACTGAAAGAGACACCGGAAACCACTTGCTTTTTTTTTTTTAGTTTTACATGTGACACAACTAACAGAGAGCCATTAAACCCAGTCACATGCTTTATTATACTTTAGAAACAAATATTGAAAATGAAATGCAATGCAAATGCTGTTTTTAAACCAATGAATCTATTTATAAATGAAAGAAAAATTACTTTCAAAAATTAAAAGAAGAATTAAAACCCCCACCGGGATCTGCTCACGCTCTCACCCACTCTCTGTGTGTCTTCCGAGAATAAGCCTCGCTTCACTGAGCATGTGCGAGAGGAAAACAAATACTGTTTCCATTTATTACAGTCATCACCAAACAGTGGTTGCTTAACACTACCAAGATATTTTCATATAAGAAAAGCTCATGAAAGTTCTCATAAGAGTTTGACACTGTTTGTTGGAAATATAAAATTTCCACATCCAACAAGATGAAAGGACAATCATTTTTTTTAACTATCTTACAGTCTTTTCTGCTCAGAAATGTTCTTTAAATACAATAAAGGTGAAAGGGAATTACGCCTAGCTGGTTTATATGATTATAATGTTGTGGTTGTGAATATGTTGTAAGATTACAGGGAGTGCAGAATTATTAGATAAATGAGTATTTTGTCCACATCATCCTCTTCATGCATGTTGTCTTACTCCAAGCTGTATAGGCTCAAAAGCCTACTACCAATTAAGCATATTAGGTGATGTGCATCTCTGTAATGAGAAGGGGTGTGGTCTAATGACATCAACACCCTATATCAGGTGTGCATAATTATTAGGCAACGTCCTTTCCTTTGGCAAAATGGGTCAAAAGAAGGACTTGACAGGCTCAGAAAAGTCAAAAATAGTGAGATCTCTTGCAGAGGGATGCAGCAGTCTCAAAATTGCAAAGCTTCTGAAGCGTGATCATCGAACAATCAAGCGTTTCATTCAAAATAGTCAACAGGGTCGCAAGAAGCGTGTGGAAAAACCAAGGCGCAAAATAACTGCCCATGAACTGAGAAAAGTCAAGCGTGCAGCAGCCAAGATGCCACTTGCCACCAGTTTGGCCATATTTCAGAGCTGCAACATCACTGGAGTGCCCAAAAGCACAAGGTGTGCAATACTCAGAGACATGGCCAAGGTAAGAAAGGCTGAAAGACGACCACCACTGAACAAGACACACAAGCTGAAACGTCAAGACTGGGCCAAGAAATATCTCAAGACTGATTTTTCTAAGGTTTTATGGGCTGATGAAATGAGAGTGAGTCTTGATGGGCCAGATGGATGGGCCCGTGGCTGGATTGGTAAAGGGCAGAGAGCTCCAGTCCGACTCAGACGCCAGCAAGGTGGAGGTGGAGTACTGGTTTGGGCTGGTATCATCAAAGATGAGCTTGTGGGGCCTTTTCGGGTTGAGGATGGAGTCAAGCTCAACTCCCAGTCCTACTGCCAGTTTCTGGAAGACACCTTCTTCAAGCAGTGGTACAGGAAGAAGTCTGCATCCTTCAAGAAAAACATGATTTTCATGCAGGACAATGCTCCATCACACGCGTCCAAGTACTCCACAGCGTGGCTGGCAAGAAAGGGTATAAAAGAAGAAAAACTAATGACATGGCCACCTTGTTCACCTGATCTGAGCCCCATTGAGAACCTGTGGTCCATCATCAAATGTGAGATTTACAAGGAGGGAAAACAGTACACCTCTCTGAACAGTGTCTGGGAGGCTGTGGTTGCTGCTGCACGCAATGTTGATGGTGAACAGATCAAAACACTGACAGAATCCATGGATGGCAGGCTTTTGAGTGTCCTTGCAAAGAAAGGTGGCTATATTGGTCGCTGATTTGTTTTTGTTTTGTTTTTGAATGTCAGAAATGTATATTTGTGAATGTGGAGATGTTATATTGGTGTCACTGGTAAAAATAAATCATTGAAATGGGTATATATTTGTTTTTTGTTGTCTAATAATTATGCACAGTAATAGTCACCTGCACACACAGATATCCCCCTAAAATAGCTAAAACGAAAAACAAACTAAAAACTACTTCCAAAAACATTCAGCTTTGATATTAATGAGTTTTTTGGGTTCATTGATAACATGGTTGTTGTTCAATAATAAAATTATTCCTCAAAAATACAACTTGCCTAATAATTCTGCACTCCCTGTATACTGGATGCAAATTAATAATGGGACCTTTGTATGGAAAATATTCCATACAAAGGAATATTTTGTATGGAAAATATTCCTTTGTATGGAATATTTTCCATATTGTATATAAGAAGAAAAGTCAGATTAGGAGCCATAACAGGAGCCGGAGGGTTGGGCCAACAAAAAAAGAAAAAAAGAAAAAGAAAAAAATGCTGTTAGACTGCTGTAAACCTATCCAAGAGCCACCTTCTGCACACTGTGAAAGGCCACTCTGTCTCTGCCAAGTTCCCAGCCTGGCTCCAGGTTTTCATACATAAGCACAGCTTTATGTAGGAGTGACCACTATGTGAGCACAATATAAACACAAATATTTCAGGTCTTGAAGCTTGATTCAAGCAGCTAGATCAAGGGCCTTATTCACAAAATATCCTTAGACTAAAAGTCGATTATGACAGATTCAGTAAGTAGGTAAGTAATTACTTAAGGAGTTATTTGATCAAAAAATGTTGAGGCAGTCTTTGTAGGCAAATGAAGGCAATGAATAAGAAAAAAAAACTCGTATTAGACAACTCAGCATCTAGCTACAGCTCTGTGAAAAAGTATTTACATTCTTCCTGATTCCATAGCTTTGTTTTTTCATAAATGTTCGTACTCAAACCAAATTTAATATTATACAGACATAATCCAAGTAAATACAAAATGCAGTTTTTAAAATTAAATGGAGCAGTGTGGTTATTAGCACTGTTGCCTCACAGCAAGAAGGTTCTGAGTTCAATTCCACCACCTGGTTGGGGCCTTTCTGTGTGGAGTTTGCATGTTGTCTCTGTGTAAGAGTGGGTTCTCTCTGGGCACTCCAGCTCCCACACATGTCCAAAGCCATGCAGTAGTGGGGTTAGGTTAATTGGTAATTCTAATTGGTAACTCATGAATGTGAGTGCGAATGGTTGTCTGTCTCTATGTGTTAGATGTGCAACAGACTGGCGATATGGTGGCTGGGATGGGTGATCCTGACAAAGATAAGTGGAAAGGAATGAATGGATGATATTTTTTTAAATTATGATTTCATTTATTAAGGCAGAAATGCTACCCAAATGTCCTCTCTTTGGATGTTATCAGATGTTATCTGTCCATTCAATGGATGCTTGGAAAGACAGAAGAACCCAGAAAAACATTTAAAGAACTGCAGGCTACTCTCACGTATGGTCAGTGTTCATGATTCAACAATAAGACAGACACTGATCAAAAATGGCATCCATGGGAAAGTTCCAAGGAAAGTACCACTGCTGACTAAAAATAACACAAAGATTAGTCTCGCATTTACAAAAAAATGTCTTGATGATCCCCAAGACTTTTGGGAAAATATTCTGTGGACGGATGAGAAAAAGTGGTTTTTGAAAGGATGAGAAGTTTTTGAAAGGTTTGAGTCCCGTTACATCTGGGGTAAAACTAACACAGCATTTCAGAAAAAGATCATCATATCAACAGTCAAACATGGTGGTGGTAGTGTGATGGTCTGGGCATCCTTTGCTGCTTAAGGACCTGGGTGAATTGATGGAACGATGAATTCTGCTCTTTACCAGAAACTGCAAAAGGAGAATGTCCAGCCATCAGTTTCTACCTTAAAGCTGAAGCACACTTGGGTTATGCAGCAGGACAAAGATCCAAAATACCGCAGTAATAAATAAATAAATAAATAAATAAATAGAATGAAGGTTTTAAAGTGACCTAAAGAAAGTTTGGACTCAAAAACGAATGGAAATCTTTGGTGTGACATTAAACAGGTTATTTAAGCTCCAAACCCTTTAATGTAGGTGAATTTAAACAATTATACAGACGAGTGGGCTAAGATTCTTCCACATTGCCATTGTCATTGTTATCACTCACCCAGTTATTGGGTTTAGGAAGCTTTTTTTTTTTTTTTTCTTACATGGGGCCAGGTAAGTTTGAATAACCCTTTCCCCATAAATAAATGAAATCATAATTTAAAAACTGCATTTTTGGTTACTTAGATTATCTTTGTCTAATATTTATTTGATTACTAAGAAATCAGGAAGCGGACAAATACTTTTTTTTAAAAAAAAATCTCGCTGGGCAAAAGTAGGCCACTACCTTCGTCTTTGAATGAAAAAAAAGCAGAGACGTGATCCACATGAACAGCGCTGATAAAAGCCACAGATGCAGACAACGACCACTGATTATTCTTGAGGGCTTGTTTGTGTTAAATAAAATAAGATACACTGTACTACTAAACTACTAAAGGGTATAACGGCAACAGCCTCTATTAACTCAGCAGGAACTTGGAGCCGGAAGCAGGGTTCATACGTCACGACTTCACAAGCGGATTGACGTCAGTATTTCCGGATCGCCATATTAGTTTCATTACATCAGATCAGGCAATGTAGCAGGCTAAGCGATTTGTGGGAAGGGCACTGTCGCTATGGAAAGGACTCTCTGACCACGAAGAAACTCTTTGTA